ATTAGGGTTGAACTTTAGGAAGAAGACAACTCATGCAGTTGGTCTCAAAGGAGTCACTTTTTCTACATTTCTCTGTTTGAAGTTTCCCAGTATCAAATTTTATATTTTCCTGCCTTGAGGGGAAGTGGTCCCATTGGGATGCCTTTTGCTCCCCTCTGCAATTCATATATAGTTTTGGGTCCCTAATCTGTTTTATAAAATCGCTATCTTCCAAAGCTCTTACCTGTATGTTCCAACCCCCAAAGGCAGGCAGGTACAACTGCCTGTGGCTCAGCCACCACTTAAGCTCCCCAGTGCGGTCGGTGCCTGGCACACGGCAGAGCTCATTTATTGTTGTTGCTTATTTACATAAGCTGGGTTGACTTGAATTGTGCAAAGTACCACATGAGACATAGGTGAGACACAGGTCTGTTCTCATACTTGACTACAGGTAGAGAGACACACAAAACAATGGAAATTAGCAGAATGTTGCACTAATTAGGTGCGAAGTGGGGCCATCCAAGCCATAGTTGGTAGAAAAGTTCAGTAAGGGTCCTAAATGCAAGGAAGTTCGTAGTAAAGAATTTGGCCATGTCCAAAAAGGGGTCTGGCCTTTGCGCTTGGCTTCTGGGAAGTAATCTCTGGCATACCTGATGGCAGTGCCTTTGTTTGGGGAGGGGGTGGGACCACATCGGAGCTTCGGGTGGGGCTGTGGGTCACGCGGTGTCAAGCTCACCTGGAGGCTGAGATCAACCACCTGGGCAGCCGGTCAGCAACCAATGAATCCTGTCCGAGTGATGGAGCCCAGATAAGAACTCTGACCACAAAGCTTGCGTGAGCGCCCCCGGTTGACGGCAATGCTCCGTGTGTACTGTGACACGTCAGTGCTGGGAGAATAGCGCCCAGACTCCACAGGGAGAGGACGACAGACCATCCACCTTTAGAATGCCCCCGGACTCTGCCCTATGTGTCTCTTCCTTTTCTGATTTTACTCTGTATCCTTTCCCGGTGAAAACCTGTTAACTGTGCACATCATAGCTCTCGGTGAGTTCTGCGAGTCCTTCCAGGGAATTATCACCCCGAGGGTGGCTGGGGGAACCCCTGGACTTGCAGTTATTTTCAGAAATGAGGGCCCCAAACTCCATCCAGAAGGGTCCGTGGAGGAGGCTCTACAGGTTGTGTGAGATTTGGCTGGGTAGGAAGAAGAGCAGAGAGGAATCCCAAGTTATCAGAGGCCGGAGGCCACATGAAGGGAGGACTCCAGGCACAGGGAAGCTGTTTGGGGAGGGGGTGGCACCACATCGGAGTTTTCCTGACTTTCATGATTTCACCTCTCCGGGATGATGTCACGTTCCAGTCCCATCACAGACAGACTTAGAGCAAGACAGCGTGAGACTTTGGGGAGACCATCTTTACATGCTCAGCCCTCATCAGAGCCACAGGTCGGCAGCCACTGGGGGACGCTAGTCCAAAATCGATCTCAGTTATTCCTCATGATGACAAGTAATCCCTCTGTCTCTTGGGAAATAGGAAAACATTACAAAATAATAAGGGGAAGACAACATTTAACGCGTGCCTACTCTGTGCCAGGCACTATTCCAGTGCAAAATACCCAGTAATGAACAAACACTGCACTAGGAAGAGGCCGTCGGGAAGCACTGGGAGTGAGGCTGAGCTCTGGGAAAGTGAAGGGGACAGGATGCTATTTAGCACCCGAGACGCCTCCTCTTTCCTAAAAACCACCATCCACGGTCAGCGTTTCAACCTCCCTCAGAAACTTCTTGCAACATAAAGTCCTAGAAGTCAGGGCTCTCGGGAGGTGTGGCCCAGGTTCTCGCAGCTTTCCCGATGACACAGCACATGCCCCAGTCACCTGGTGAGCAGGGAGCTGGAACTCGGGTGTTCTGTGCTCCATCCTGGCATCACATTGCCTCCTGGTGACACTGGACCACTCTGAGCGTGGGCGGTGCTCCGTCCCTGAGCTGCGGGGTTGAAGCTGCCCGTCAACCGCCACCACGTCTCCCTTCCCTGAGCCTGGAATCCTGCTTGCCTGGCAGTGGCCTCCACACCCGAGCAGCTAGTGGGTGACTGCATTCCCAGAGGGGTGGACAACGGCGACAGGCAGGTGGCCGGACTGCTGCTGCCCTTCGAAGGCTTAGGGTCAAGACGGGGACGCAGGGACTTCCCTGGCGGCCCGGTGGCTAAGACTCCGCGCTCCCAATGCAGGGGACCCAGGTTCGATCCCTGGTCGGGAAACTAGGTCCCACGTGACGCAACTAAGACCCAGTGCAGCCAAATAAATAAATAAATAAATATTTTTAAAAAAAAACAAACAAACTGGGATGCAGTTGAAAGCAGACGTGCATTGGGCCCCTGCCGGGAGCACTACCAAACACCTTATGCCTTTGCTCAGGACCAGTGGACACCACACTTTCCAGGCTCCCTTGCCAGTCAACTGGCTTCTCAATAGGTTTGACAATAGGTGGCTGTGATGAGAGACTGAAGGCAGAGGAGGGGAAAACCAGGGTCTTTCCTGCTCCCTCCACCTGGGGCAGCACCTCCGTCAGCAGCTAAATGTTCTCCATGACTCCAGCCACTCTGCCCTTGTAGTTCCCACCATCACCCCGTCCCTAGACTCTGATGTCCCACCCTAGAGGTGACAGTGGCTTCTCCAGTCTCCGATCGTCTCCTTGTTCCCTGCTGGGCCTCTCAGCTCTTCCCATCAATGGGGTAAGCAACTCTCTGTATTAAATTCCCTCTGAAATACCTGGTGGTTTCTGTTTTCCTAGCTGGCCCCTGACTGTTCAACGTAGCACCTGGCCATCGGGGAACTTACAATAGGTTAGAGAATCAAGAATTAAATATATGCAAAATGCTAGTAAAATAAAATGTAGAAATTCCGTACATATACTAAAAATGACTAAATTGTACATTTTAAATGGGTAGATTTTATAGTATGTAAATTATGCCTCAATAAAGTTGTTTTAAAATATCCAGGAAAAAATGAAGTAAAATGGAGGGTGAGTAGATGAGACAAGTGATCCCCACACAGTTCTGATCATAGCCCCTGACAAAAAGAAACAAAATCTGAGTACGCACTGCCAATATTTGTGGGCTTACTTAAATTGTATACGTGTCAAACTCTGTTAATGTATGATACCTTATAAAATAGCTACAAGATAGACATTTAAACAGATAGAGAAACGTAACTAGAAATTCTGGCGATTTCTTGCTTAACCTCAGTGGATCATCTCACACATCTCCTGGGATGCCTACACCCCACTGTGAACCCAGTGACCACTGATGCAGGCAGTCAGCACAGAGATCTCTGCAAGGGACTTCCAGAGCAAGGAAGTCCCTTCCCTCCTGCCTTCCTTTCTGAAGGGGCCTAAATTAGGCTAATGCCTCAATAACAGCCACCACTTTGTGACCCTCTTCTGACATTTACACATCGCTTTACAGTTTTAGAGTGTAAAGAGTCTCACATAGGTTATCTCATTTACTCGTCCAAATCAAGAGAATAGGGTCAAACAGGAGACAGACTGGGGAGATCTCGAATGCCTGACCAAGAGGAGTTTGGACCAGATCCCGAGAGCGGTGCTGCCACATCAGATGTATCAAGTTACAGAGCGGGGTGTCGACAGTGCAGAGTCCCCCAAATAGCTGACTTCCTCTTTCAGGGTAGAGGCCCTGAGAGAACCTCAGGGAGCAATACTTATTCCTGTGGGCCTGGCTCTGAGGGAGGTGCCGAGAAGGCGGCAGCGAGCTCCCCACTCGGGGGCTCCCCTTTCAGCACTTCAGGCCCGAGAACGAGGCCTAGCCAACAGCCATCCAACCCTTCCTCTCACACTGCTTTTCCATCCACGTGACTATTATTGGTAAATCCAGTTTCCAAAAGGACGCCTTGATACCTTTACGTGGGCCTCCCAGCCCGGGGCGAGTGTGCAGCTGTCTCACTCCAGGGTGCCTTCCCGTCTCTCTTGCTCTTGAGCTCAGCAGGCCATGTTCTCCATCCCATATTCAGCTCCCTCCCAGGGGACAAGGCAGGACTTTGTCCTGGTCCCTCCCTCTCCCTTTCTCCCTGTCCCGTCCCCGAGCTGAGCTGTGTGTCCTGTTGCGGCAGCAGCATTAGGGGGCCCGCGGGAAGGGCTGGCAGGACAGTGCTCTGAAAAGCCTGAAGCCAGGTCTGCAGGAGGCGCCCGCGGGTGTGGAAGAGGTAGCCAAGGAAGCACAGCAAGTAGCCGCGTTATCTAGTGCTGAGGTTCATGTCCTTCTGCTGAAAAACCTTCAGCGACTCTCCTTTGACCAAAGTCCTAAGTGGGTCCGTTAACGGCCCTTGTCCACGGAGGGGTGACAGCCACCTGCCAGGTGGGGAGCGGAGAGGCCCGTGTCCTCCCAGTAGCGGGTGGGTGTTGCCGGGACCTGAGCCGGCAGAGATGGCCATCTATTTATAAGACTGAATAATATCTTCAAACTGAAGGCAGACCACGGCCTTGGCCTCAGATCAGCACGTGGCAGGGGGAGGGAGCAGTAAGGCTTGGAGTCACCTGCAGGGGCCTCTGCCCCTGAGGGTGCCCGGGGGCGGATGGGGCTGCGGTGCTCCCCAGGGCTGAAACCTCTCTGCTCTACAGTCAGAAAACCTGGGTCAAATCCATCCCTAACGACCTTGCAACAAACAGGCTGCTTAACTTCATCCATCAAGCCTCCTTCACACCTGTCTGAGGTTAAATGAAGCAACTCCATACTTTTATCAACGCGCCGTTCCTCTGACTCTTACAAAGACACGTGTCCCTCTGCCCTGCGTCCGAGCTCGTGGGTACCACACCTGTCCCCAGCTCATGGACAGAGCCGCGTCTCGCTGATGTCTGCTCCCTCCCCCGGCCACGAGCCAAAGCTCCCAGAGCCTGTTGTGTTTCGTCCGGATGCCGCTGCCTCCCCCCTGCCCCCGACACCTACCGGAGCCCCGGCGGAGGCCTGTACCGGGTTAGAAATGGTTTCCAGGTTGTGCTTCTTTCTTCCAGGGATTTCCCAGATGACCCCGGCGTGTGGTGGGACACCGAACGGGTGGCCGACGTCCTCCTCCGGCACGTAGAGGCCAGCCGCATCAACCTGGTAAGGGGATGCCTTCCGCTTGAAGCAGAGGCCCAGCTGCATCTGTCTGAAACCCACCGAGGAACACACACACCTTTCCTGAGCAACTGAAATCCCAGCGCTCAGACAGAGGCAGAGATTTTTCCAAAGTGCACCCTCTTCACCCACCCACTCCCACCCCTGTGCTGCCACCTGAAACCTCAGGACCCCACGAGCCTGTGCCACGACCCGCTGGCACAGAGCTTTCTACCAAGCGTTTTAGTTTTAAGGTATCATTGTAACTTTGGAGGTAAGTGTTGTTATAATGCTCACCTTACGCTGAGGAAGTTGAGGCCCCCAGAGGCCCAGCAGCTGCCCAGGGTTGCCAAGTGTGATGCTAGGATTTTAAGCCTGGAGTCCTCACTCCAGAAATTGCGAGGATAAATTCACAGCCCCTGCGGGGAGAACACTCTAGTCACGATTAGAGCTCTAGTGGGCATTCAATTCACCTGCAGAGGCGGACGGCCCAGATACACCCACCTCGACTCTCGGGCCCCGCCGGCCCGCGCCCCACCAGAGGTCAATCTTAAGGCTCCAAGAAGGTGTCCACCTCTAAAATAAGAACGCTAACCCTTCATGAGTTAATACCTAAATCCTACCATTTAAAGACCCAACCACTTGCTTTAAGTTTTGATTAAGCCTTGTTAAAAGATGATCCCTGCTGTTAAGCTTTTATCGGTGATGAATTCTCCAAGTGAATGGATTTGTTAGACCTTTGTTAAGAGCAGATTTTCGTGGATATATTAGACCGTCTTTGAGCTCTAATGACAGAAATGCAGCGGGAAATTCGTCCACATGGGCCAAAGGGGCACCTAACTGGCTGGCTCTGACCCACCCAAGGCAGAGGTGCAGGGCTCTGCGCTGGCTTCCCTCTTTGTTCTGGCTGTAAATATGGTCACCCAGAGCCACAGGCCCACCCCTCCCGGCTGTACGTCCCACAGGGTCTGAGGGTGACAGCTGGAGGGTTCACGGCCTGGGCCTGCTGCCTGGCCTGGGTCCTCTTGCCTGCCACCCCCCAGGCCACGCTCAGAACCTCTCAGGGCCCCAAGCCTGGCAGGGGGGCAGAGCTGGTCCTCCGGGCTGGCCTGGAGTACAGGGCGGGGACTGTGAGGTGGGCCACAGTGGCCCTCGGCACCCGGGCTTCCCCAGAGCCGGTCCCCAAACTCTCCCCTCCCCCGCTCCGGTGCATGGGAACGGCTGGTTTCCCAGTAACTCCTGCTTGTAGGATAAACTCCCATCTTTGTGAACTTGGCCGTCTCCGACCTGGACCTTCCTTCGGTGCTCTTTGCTGATGAACAGGGTTGGTCCCTACTGAGGGGCCGGGTTGTTGTTTAGACCACGTTGCAGCCATGGCCCTGAACATCCAGGGAGGAGCTTCAGGGCACAGACGCTCTGCGTGCCTTTCCTGCTCTCAGAAGAGCCTCCCAAGTTTGTGTCCCAGAAAAGTGATTTGTGGTCCAGGCCCGGCTTAAGACCGCCTTCTCCAAGAAGCTTTCCCTGATTTCTTCAGCCCTCTTTGGGGTAGTATTTGTCGCGTGTCCTGCACCTGTGACATGAGTTGCTGTTTATCCTCTAAACCACAGACCATGTCTTGTGAGCCACTATCTTCGAGAAGCGAGAGCAGCCCCACTGTTCCCTCTTGTTTACTGGCGTCTGGGTAAGACTTCATTTGCCCAGAGACTTCTGCAGTTTAGCGGGGAAGGTGGATGGAGTTCTGCAAAGAACCGCAGACGCCATTGCTGTCAGGTCCTAACCTGCACGAGTCCAGGGCTAGAGGCAGATCAGCTCAGCCCTCCTCGAAGCAGGAAGAGAGGGGGCTTATCAGAAGGTATAGGATGAAGAAGAAACAAGGCCCTGAAGAATTTCAGAAGTGATGGAGCCAACGTGCAGTGGCCCCAAGTCCCCAGACCAGGGAGTGTGCCCCAGCTCACCAGTGACAGCCCGGCCCCGGCATCACCTCCACCCGAGGGCAGTGCACACTCGGCCTTGACTGCTGTCCAGGTCCTACACTCCCACGTGGCTTCACTTGACCTTCAACTCGACCCAGAGAGGAAAGGCGGGCAGGTCTCACTCTTCCCATCTCACAGATGAAGAGACCAAGACACTGAAAGTTGACATCACTCCCAGGGTGACATGCTGCGACATGCCTGAAGGTCGGGGGCAGCTAGCGTCAGAGGTGGGAGTGGACATGGGCTGCGGGGAAGGGTGGCCTCAGAACAGGGTACCTGAGTTCTGGGGTGACCTTTTTTTAATACAGTATAGTTTTTAGAACAGTTTTAGGTTCGCAGCAGAATTGAGCAGAAAGGACATACATAACCCCCAAGCCCACAATGTGTTACAGTCAGTGAACCAGCGCTGACACAGCATCATCACCCCAAGTCGTGGTTCACATTAGGGTTCAGTTCTGGTGCTGCATGTCCTGTGGGTTTTGACAAATGTATGACAAGTATCCACCATAATGCGATTAGCTTATATGCCTTTTTAAAAAAATTTCGGGACTTCCCTGGTGGTGCAGTGGTTAAGAATCCACCTGCCAATGCAGGGGACATGGGTTCGAGCCCTGGTCCGGGAAGATCCCACATGCCACAGAGCAACTAAGCCCGTGCACCACAACTACTGAGCCTGTGTTCTAGAGCCTGTGCGCCCCAACTACTGAGCCTGTGCTCTAGAGCCCACGAGCCACAACTACTGAAGCCCGTGCGCCTAGAGCCTGTGCTCTGCAACAACAGAAGCCACCTCAGTAAGAAGCCTGTGCACCACAACGAAGAGTAGCCCCCACTCACCTCAACTAGAGAAAGCCCATGTGCAGCAATGAAGACCCAATGCAGTCAAAAATAAATAAAATAAATAAATACATTTATTAAGAAGAAGACCGAACGCTCAAACCCACAGCCACGGTCTCCACATAGTCGGCCAAGCAATGGCCACACAGCCCCGACCCGCTCCCACGTCAGCTCAGATACACTCAGAACGTGAACAGGCGCAGGGTTCTGGGGCCTCCTGTCCTTCCTGGGCCGTGGGGACGAGGCGGGAGGGACAGGTTCGGCCCGGAGTGAAAGCCTGTGTGTCTCTGCAGGTGGTGACCTTTGACGCGGGAGGTGTGAGCGGCCACAGCAACCACGTGGCTCTGTATGCAGCTGCCAGGTAGGGCGCTCCGAGTCTCCGGGCGGCGGCTGGTTTCCCCTCACTGTCCCCCCTCGGGCCATCAGAGAGCCGTGCTCTCTCACCACCTGCTCCTGGGGGCAGTCGCCCTCGGGTCCTGGTATTATGGTCTCGTCTCCTGAACAGCCGAGTTTCCCCACCCCCGGATACGGCAAGTGGAGGAACGGATTTGATTTACCCCTCTGCTTTGGCCACAGAAAGCTTTAGGCCAAATTTCAGCTCCTTGCAGCACACGCACAGGACTAAGGGTTGAGTTCTGGGGATCGGCGGCCCTCCTGGCTGCACCCTCTTTTCCCTCCTCTAACTCCAGCTTGTTTGCTCTCTCCTGCTGTGTATTCTGTGCACAATTTCAGGTCTTTCTTTGGAGAAGGAGGATGTGCACGTCACAGGAAATCTTACTTGTTCTTTGCAGCCTCTCCACGTGACTGACACGCACCTGGATTTCACCAGTAAAAAACCCCGATCCTCACACACCTTGAGGGATGTCCTCGGGGTCATGCAGACCTAGAGCGTGTGTCCTGACCTCTGGAGCTGTGCTCCCCCTGGGCCCGTGAGCAGCTTGCTGGACATGGCCTGGGGAAGGAGGGGGCAGCCTGACATGAAGGACTGATTTTATGACCCTCTTCTGAACATGCCCAATGCTTTTCAGGGCTTGAAATGCCGTTTCCAGGAGCGTCTCCAGGGCCCCTCCCTCCTCCACTTAGATGCTGCCTCCCAGCTCTTTCCCAGGAGATCATCCCTAGGGCTGTACCCAGAGCGCAGGACAAGCGGCCTCTGACCTCAGGGTTTTCTATTCCTCAGGCTGGTGGACCCACCTCACCCCTCCTCTTAAGGCAGTGAGCACAGAAGGGCCTCTACTGTCAGAAGGGGTGGGGCAGGGTGTCAAATAGGAGAAAGGGGCATCAGAGAGGAAATACCAATTAACATTTTAAATATTCTCCACCACTCTCACATCTCAATTTCAAAAGAGAAAAGCTTCACAGAGTCCACTGTCCTTACCTTCATATCTGTTGGGCAAAGCTTGGACCAGGGCACTTCATAAGCCACTGGCCACATCCAGATCGGCTGACCTTGGGTAAGGGACCCACCCTGGTCCCTTCAGCTGTAGCCAAAGGTGTGGAATCCAGGGAATCTATATGGTGACTTATGCTCAAGAAACTGCCTAGAAACCAACAGTGGAGGGACCCCAGAGTGGGGCAGGCGTGGCTCTGAAGGCCCTGCCTGTTAGCTGCAGAGGGATGCTCACTGTCACCTGTCCTTTCCCTCCTCCAGGACCCTGCACGCACAAGGGAAGTTACCTAAAGGTAAGGCCTGTCCCTCTTGTAAGAGGTCACCGTTACTATCCCTCTAGGGTGAAACTGGTAAATATACAGAGAGCTGCCCTCAGCGAGGCCGGGCAGGGCGGGGGGTGGGGGATGCAGAGCCACACCCTCCTGACTCAGCTCAGTGTGCCTGTCACGGCGGGTCCCCAGGTGTCGAAATCAGGTTGTATCCACAGGGAAGTACCCTCCGGGTATGAGGGAGGAGCGTGTAGTCGGGGTTCTCCAGAGAAACAGAACCAAACAGGACACACAGATAGATAGCTATGGTGGTATATGCACTTATATATATACATATAAAATAAGGAATTGGCGCACACGTTCATGGAGGCCGAGAAATCTTGGGATCCGCCGTCGGCAAGCTGGGGGCCCAGGAGAGCTGGGGCGTCACTCAGCCTGAGTCCAGAGGCCTGAGAACAGGGGAGCCGAGCCGATGGTGTAAATCTCGGTCTCGGGGCAGAAGACCGATGTCCCGCTCTGCAGTCAGACAGACAGGAATGGATTCTCCCTTCCTCCGCCTTCTGTTCTGTCCGGGCCCTCAATGGTTTGGGTGAGGCCCACCCATGCTGGCGAAGTCTGCTTTACCAAGTCATCCAATTCAAACGTGAAACACAGACACACCCAGAAACAACGTTTAGCCAAGTATCTGAGCACCCAGGACCCAGTCGGGTTGACACAGGAAGTTAACCTCCTCCGTAGGCCTTGCCCCTCACCTGCCTGGTTTCTCCCTGGCCAGGTCTGTTCCGCCTCTGGTATCCTTTCAGGATGTCCACCCAAACTCACACCCATCCCCCAGTTAACTGGCCAGGCTGTGGGTGACGGATGGGTGCTGCTGGACAGGTCTGAAACTCTTCCCAACTCACAGGAAGGCGTCTGACCCGCTGGGCCAGTTTCTATGCGACACCCCCTAACCTCCCTGAGCTGGGTTCTGTCACGATGTGCACCCTCACAGGAGAGCCCTGGGGATGGAATGATGGCCTTTCTGGCTGGCGGTGCCACGGGGGCTTCGGAACACGACCCTTGTATCAACCCTGGGAAACAGGCCGGTCCCACACTCACGACCAACACCATCATACAGATGGGGAAACTGAGGCTCGCAGAGGTGAAAGGACTTCCCCAAGCCCGTCAGTTCTTTAGTGACGAGCAGGAACCAGGTCTCTGGCCTCCCAGGACAGAAATCCTATCTGCATCCCCTCTCCCTGGGCCTCGATCCCAGCCTCTAGCAGCCGACCCTTCCCTGCTGGGGGCACAGAGCAGGTAGAGGGCGGCCGTCAGGTGTTCTGGGGCCCTTTCACCCTTCTTATCTGTGAGAATGATAGGCAAAGAGCAGCTCTGCTGACACTGCCCTGCCCTGAGCCCGGAGCGAGGGGAGGGCACCCAGGAAGATCTGCCTGAAGCAGCAAGTCTCCGCTCTGCCCGCTCCCCAGGGTGCTTGGTGCTCACGCTCCAGTCTGTGAACCTGCTGCGCAAGTACCTGTCACTGCTGGACCTGCCCTGCTCCCTGCTGCGCGCCCGCGACGCCCTCTTTGTGCTCAGCCGCCAAGAGGCGGCCCAGGCCCAGGTGAGGACCGCCCCGCCACCCCTGTGCTCCCCCCCCCAGGTCTGCGCCCCGTTCCTGGTTCTTCAAAGCCCCTCACCGAGGCCTTCCACAGCGGTTCTGTCCCCAGAGCTGGCCCGCAGCCAGACCCTGGGAGCCACAGACCAGGGACTTGCACATTTTCTTCTGATTATAGAAATAATATGTGCTGGGAAAAAAGCAAATAACAATACAGGCTCAGTGTAGAAAATCTGGAAATACAGAAAAGAAGAAACCCCACTGCCTGCAAGCCCACCCCTCAGGGGTAGCCACTCTTGACAGTATATACGCCCTCCATAAAGAGTATTCATGCACAGGCATTTAGAGCGGGGGACACGGAGCCTGCTTATTTGAAACCTACTTTAGCAACATCATGACCATTTTCTCCAGGGTTATTAGGTGTTCACATTGTAATGTCTGCCTGTGTTCCATGGCATGGGCGCACCATAAAATAGGTCACACACCCCTTACGGTTGGACATCTCGATTTACCGGTTTTTCCCTGCTACACGTGGACCAGTGCTCCCAGCTTGAGCCAAGAGGAACTCAGACCTGCCAGGAGCCTCTGTAAAGAGCCACTGGGGCTGACCACGGGTTGCCGGCTGAGGAGTCAGGCCCAGCGAGGCCCTCCGGGGGAAAACCCTTGGTGGTCGGTGGGGCAGGTGGTCTGAGAAGGCTGCTGAGTTCTAGCCTTAACCCTTTCCACTTCTGCTATCCAAGTGGAAAGGTTCAAAGGCTAGAACCCATGTTGAGCCATTAAATGAAACAGGTGTGTAAACGGCTATCATTTTCTGGGAAGCAACAGTAGTAAATATCAGAAGTCTTCTCAGAAGTTGTACTTACCTTTTGAAGCTCTTGATACATTGAGTAGACACAAGCGGGTTGCAGAGCAATATATCAATAAATCTATACTTTCTCTGACCCACTAATTTTAATTTCCAGAATTTTATCCTAAAGAAAGAAAGTTGTGTCCAGAGACTGATGTACAAGAATGTTCACTAGTATAACTTATGAGGCCCAAAAAAGGAGCTAATATTTAGCAGGTGAATGATATGGTACTATATAATCAGAAAAATCATAGTTTTGAAACACACGTAGTGAAAATGTTCCAAAAGTAGGGAGGAAATAGAAACTATTTTGCAGTATTCCTTTGAAAATTCTCAACAAAAAGTAATAGGAGGAAAAGCTTGTAAAAAACCAAACTGGCCATAAATATATAATTACTGTAAGCGCCCATCTTATTGAGTGGGTGCTGCAGCCACTGAAAGATGAGGGAATCTACAAAATTGGCCACCTGGGCAGCAGGATGAGGGAAGCCCCTGTGACTCGAAATCTCTCACAAGTAGACAAGTGTGTTTGGACCACAGAGTTCCTACCTTCCCTCAACGTTTTTCTAAAATGAACATTTTATTCTCACTATGGTCTTCAAAACTGAAACACTATTCTGTGAGTTCACACATCCATTTTGTTTCTGAAAGTCATTTTTATTTAAAAATTTTAGTTGTATTTCCTGTTGAAACCATGCTATGTAACATTTTGCCTGCATATGGTGATAATTCTTTTTATCATCTTAAAGCTTTCAGGCATCACAGGGGTGTTTACATCCCTAAAGCCACGGATGTTCCGATAGTGAATATAAAATGAGTTTTTTACGTAAAGGTTTGCAATGATATTAGCTTAGATTATAAGCATTAATTATGGTACTTAGAGAAAAACAGGAACCATTTATATAGGTTACATCTAGTTCAATCAGTTGTTATGATCTATTCTGTTTAAAGACTGAGCTACACTAGATCTGAATAACAGGATAACGTTTCCCCCACCGGATGGCAAGGAGAGCCAGTACATACGGGTACTATTCCTTTTCTTCCTCTTCTCAGAGTGACTGTAATTACCCAGCTTGGCTAATCCATAGGAGTCTGGGCACGAAACAGCCCTATACGAGTTATATATGCAGGGTAGTGGAGCCAGGGATTAAGAATGTAGGCTCCACAGTCAACCAGGTGGCTCTGGGTTCAATCTCAGCTTTACTACCTACTTGCTATTTGTGACTGATGAATCAGTTTCCTCATCTGTTTAAAAAAAAAAAAAAAAAGCAACAATAATAGTCCTTTACTCACAGGGTTGTTAAACTGAGCCAGTGCTCGGCTGCATCAGCAGCCTCTGCTGTTATCACATCGGGTATCAGGAGACAGGCGGGGGAGGCCAATCCACAGGGGTTCGAAGGGCACAGCAGAAGCCAGCTCAGGCCGTAGCTTGCAGTATGTGGGTGGGAGGAGGCCTGAAGGAGAGGAAGCAGAGTGAAAACAACAGGCCGCCGGCGCCAGCACTCACGCCCGGTCCTCCGACTCTTCCAGAGAGCCATGTCCTGCCACCACAGCCAGCTGCTCTGGTTCCGCCACCTCTATGTGCTGTTCTCCCGGTACATGAGAATCAACTCCCTGCACTTCCTCTGAGCCGGGAAGGGCTCTCAGACCCAAGGAACAGAGGGAAAAATGGCCAGGGGGCCCAGGGTGCGGCTGGAGCAGCTCATCTCCCTGAGCCAAGGAGATCCCAGCATAAGACTGCGTCCCGGCCCCTTTCCTCCAAGCTGCCCGGCCTCTAGGGAAAGGGAGGCCCTGCAGGCCACCGGGCTGCCCAGACTTGAGCTTCTGCCTCTGGGGAGCAAAACCACAACCACCGGAACACACACCACCCGAGGACAACAGCCACCCTGCTGGCTTCTCAAGCTCTTGTGCAAGACAGCTTACATAATGCACAATGTATGTCAACCCCCTAAGACACACACGCAATTGTCGTAAATGAATGTCAAGTGCTCTGAAATCCCTTCTTAAACGCAATGTATTTTTACGTTGTTTCCAAAGCAGGCTCATCAGACATAAACACACACAAAAGAATGGTCTAGGGCTTCCTTGGTGGTGCAGTGGTTAGGAATCCGCCAGCCAATGCAGGGGACGCGGGTTCGAGGCCAGGGATTAAGAATGTAGGCTCCACAGTCAACCAGGTGGCTCTGGGTTCAATCTCAGCTTTACTACCTACTTGCTATTTGTGACTGATGAATCAGTTTCCTCATCTGTTTAAAAAAAAAAAAAAAAAGCAACAATAATAGTCCTTTACTCACAGGGTTGTTAAACTGAGCCAGTGCTCGGCTGCATCAGCAGCCTCTGCTGTTATCACATCGGGTATCAGGAGACAGGCGGGGGAGGCCAATCCACAGGGGTTCGAAGGGCACAGCAGAAGCCAGCTCAGGCCGTAGCTTGCAGTATGTGGGTGGGAGGAGGCCTGAAGGAGAGGAAGCAGAGTGAAAACAACAGGCCGCCGGCGCCAGCACTCACGCCCGGTCCTCCGACTCTTCCAGAGAGCCATGTCCTGCCACCACAGCCAGCTGCTCTGGTTCCGCCACCTCTATGTGCTGTTCTCCCGGTACATGAGAATCAACTCCCTGCACTTCCTCTGAGCCGGGAAGGGCTCTCAGACCCAAGGAACAGAGGGAAAAATGGCCAGGGGGCCCAGGGTGCGGCTGGAGCAGCTCATCTCCCTGAGCCAAGGAGATCCCAGCATAAGACTGCGTCCCGGCCCCTTTCCTCCAAGCTGCCCGGCCTCTAGGGAAAGGGAGGCCCTGCAGGCCACCGGGCTGCCCAGACTTGAGCTTCTGCCTCTGGGGAGCAAAACCACAACCACCGGAACACACACCACCCGAGGACAACAGCCACCCTGCTGGCTTCTCAAGCTCTTGTGCAAGACAGCTTACATAATGCACAATGTATGTCAACCCCCTAAGACACACACGCAATTGTCGTAAATGAATGTCAAGTGCTCTGAAATCCCTTCTTAAACGCAATGTATTTTTACGTTGTTTCCAAAGCAGGCTCATCAGACATAAACACACACAAAAGAATGGTCTAGGGCTTCCTTGGTGGTGCAGTGGTTAGGAATCCGCCAGCCAATGCAGGGGACGCGGGTTCGAGCCCTGGTCCGGGAAGATCCCACATGCCGCGGAACAACTAAGTCCGCGCGCCACACCTACTGAGCCTGCGCTCTGGAGCCCACACGTCTAGAGCCCGTGCTCCGCAACAAGAGAAGCCACAGCAATGAGAAGCCCGTGTACCACAGCAAAAAGTAGCCCCTGCTTGCCTCAACTAGAGAAAAGCCCAGTGCAGCAACAAAGACCCAGTGCAGACAAATTAATTAATTAATTAAATTTTTTAAAAAAGAAAGAATGGTCTATACTGAATTAGTTCAACCATAATTCCTTGGATTTATCTTTGTGGCCTACACATCAGATTTGAATCTAGGGAAGACATGTCCGTTTAACGGCATACAATCAAATATCTCACTATCAGTCTTTTGGGAGAAGCAGGAAATAGGAAGAGAGATCTGGAGCTTAACACTCAAGAACCTATGTCCTAAAATGGTGCTACAAACAAAAGGGCAGCAAGGGGTCTGGTCTGGAAGCTATTCTGAGTCCAGCTGGTGGTCCAGGAAGTGGCCCAAAGAGGGGAAGCTCCAATTCAGAAAGAGAGAAGACAAACGTGCCGTTACTGGGAACAGAATGGATAGGACAGCCACAAAAATGGAAGAGACCGAGAAAACTATAGGAGATGATATGCACAGTCCAGGGCAACAAAACTGAAAATCGAACGGAAATGGATGACTTCCGAGTACATGTTGGACCACCGCCAGACTCTACCGTAATGTCACAGATAGGGTCCAAACACTTCAATCCCATAAAATGCAGGGTTGCATCACTGCAAGATGAATGACAACCAGTTTTTTTTAATCTTCCAAGGACTCAGCATCAAGCTTGTGCACCCAAGACCTGAAGGAGGTCAGCGTTCCTGGGCAGGTGGCTGTCCTGCTTTCTTGGCCGAGTCTAGGAGTGAGGGAGGGACACCTGTGCAGCAAGATGCTCGGGACCAAATGCATGGCAGCAGGGGGGAGAGGCAGAGGAGCCAGGCTCTGCAAGGGGCTGGACCCCCAATGGACTGAGGCTGGCGTGGTGGCTGTCCCCGTCCACTGGAAAGCTGCACACTGCTGCTTTTGTTGAGCCCTTGCAAAGTAAAAAACGCTCTCCTTAAACTGAGAGAGTCCCATCTGGGGGTCGCCTCCAAACCCCCTTCCACACCCACCCCCCCCAGTACAGCTTTGGCCACCCACATTTGAGAATAGGAACTAGGGAACAAGAACTGGATTATATCCAATGGTGGGCACCTTATTAATGGGATTTTACATGACTACAATTGACTTCAAAAGTGAAAGGGAACAGACCTAATAACCATAGAAGAAATTAGAAAGGTAATTATAACAGATTTTTTAAAGATTCCTAGTCTAGATGGTTTTGCAGCTATCTAAAAATAATTCCAATATGATTTAGAGCATAAAATAGAAAAGTACTCCAATTCACAGACAACAAAACACGAAATAGCACCCAAAAAAACCCTGAAATTTTATTTGTGAATACAGATGCAAAAATGTAAAAGAAAATATTAGCAAACTGAATCCAGCAGTGCATCAAAAGAATTACTACTCCATGACCAAGTAGGGTATTATTCCAGAATGTAAGAATGGTTCCACTTTGGGAAATCCATCAACATAATTCATTACATCAACAAATTAAGAAGAAAAACCATATTCTACACACAGGCGCCGAAAGATAACAAAATTCAGTCACTATTCCTAATAGCAACTTTCAAGAAAAATAGGAAAAAAGAATACAACGTAAATATAATAAAGACTACCGAAATCTAGCACCTAAAACCAAGTGGACAAGGTAGAAAGGTAAGCTGCCATCATCATGATTATCAAGGTTGTTCTGAAGGGTGAAGCTGATGCAGTAGGACAGCACAACAAAATAACTGATGTAAGTATTAGGAGAGACAGCTATGTTTAGAAACCCAAGAGATGCCCATAAAATCTACTGAAATAGATGAGGGAATCTGGTAAAGCAGCTGGATAATAGGTATCTTTACAAAAATCAGTAGACTGTCTTTAATTGGCAATAATGTGACAGAAATGAAAATGGGGGGGAAAATCCCATTCTCACCAACTTCAAGAACTATAAAATACCTATAGGAATAAGCTCAACATAAAAGATGTAAGATCTGTCTAAATTTTACAATCACTATTAAAATTCCAGCTATCTTTTTTGGCAGAAACGGACAAATTGATCCTAAAACAATATGGAATTGCAAGAGACTCAGAAGCCAAAACAATGTTAAAAAAAGAACAAAGTTGTAAGACTCACATGTCCCAATTTTAAAAACTACTACAAAGACCTAAATGTAAGAGCTAACACTATAGAACTCTTAGAAGAAAACACCAATGTTAATCTTTGTGACCTTGGATTAGGCAACAGTTTCTTAAATATGATACCAACAGCACAAGCAACAAAAGAAAAAATAGAAACCTTTGTACATCAAAGGACACTATAAAGAAAGTGAAATGGAGGCGTCCCTGGTGGCACAGTGGTTAAGAGTCCGTCTGCCAATGCAGGGGACACGGGTTCGAGCCCTGGTCTGGCAAGATCCCACGTGCCGCGGAGCAACTAAGCCTGTACGCCACAACTACTGAGCTGGGGCTCTAGAGAGCCTGCGAGCCACAACTACTGAGCCTGCGAGCCTAGAGCCTGAGCTCCGCAACAAGAGAAGACACCGCAATGAGAAGCCTGGTCACAGCAACGAAGAGTAGCCCCCGCTCACCGCAACCAGAGAAAGCCCACGCAAAGCAGTGAAGACCCAACGCAGCCAAAAATAAATTTATTTTTTAAAAAAAGTGAAATGGGAAAAAGTATTGGCAAATCAAATATCTGATAAGGACCTGGTATCCAGAATATATAAACAACTCAACAACAAAAAGACAACCTAATTGAAAGATGGGCAAAAGACCCGAATATACATTTATCCAAGATTTTCAAATGGCCAACGAGCACAAGAACATCATTAGGTGTTCTTGTGAGGGGACTTCCTTGTTGGTCCACTGGTACAGAATCTGCCTTCCAATGCAGGGGACACGGGTTTGATCCCTGGTTGGGGAACTAAGATCCCACACGTGGCGGGGCAACTAAGCCTGCGTGCCACAACTAGAGAAGAGAAAAGCCGCACGCCACAAATACAGAGAAGCCCACGCGCCACAACTAAGACCCAAAAAAACAAAAACAAAACAAAACAAAAAGACGCAATGAGATACTACTTCTCACCCAGTAGAAAAAGGCAGCAATGAAAACAAACTAACACGGACGATGGCAAGTGTTGGTGGAGCATATGGAGAAGTGGAACCCTCGAACGTTACTGGCGGGAACGTGAAACGGTGCAGCTGCTGCGGGGGACAGTTTCGCTCTTCCTCAGTAACTGAAAAGATTTACCATCAGACCCAGCAATTCCACTCCTAGGTACACACCCAAGAAAACTGAAAACATGTCCCTATAAAAACCTGTGCACGAGTGTTCCCAGCAGCAGCA